TTCGTCGTCGCTCTGTTAGTACGTCATATGCTTCGTTGATCTGATTGGTTTATTTGGCCCGTCTATCCCCAACATAGGCCAATCAGCTAACCAGGATTTTCGCACTTCCCAAAATTACTTCAACGGAAGGTTTCCAGATGGATATGTGGAGCAAATCCATCTGGCGGAGTCAGGTTAGTCGGCCTCAGCAGATGGCCGCTCACACTGAGCCCGTTTCTGCTGGAGGTTTCTTCCTGTTAAAAGGGAGTTTTTCCTCTCCACTGTCGCTACATGCATGCTTAAATTTCTTTCCGATCGGACCCGAATCGACTCAGTCTGACATGTTTACATGAAACGTTTTGATCTGATTCTGCTTTCAATACGATTATTTCCGTCCAGGTAAACGTAGCCATCTATAGTCAGTAGTTATAAGTAGAGATCGACTGACACGGGGTTTTTAAGGTCGATGGCGATAGCGATTGTTTTGACATCCTCGATAGGTGCTGCCGATGTTTGAACCCAAATCACAAACTATCTGGACAACTCAGTAACATCTGCAATAAGGCTAATCAGAAAAAAAAAATAAATCACTGTGTTACCTTTACGCAAGCACCAAGGATTTGGATCAAGACCCAATATCTATGCAGTTTTAAATGATTTTAGTTAGATATAAGCAGATCTCAGTTCTAGAGCCTTCTTAGTTGTACAAATTCAATCTTCAGGCACATACTCTGTTTTTTTTCCATCAGTTTAAAGGTCACAGACAGTATGGAAAAAAATTCCCATTTGTAACATTAACTGAAAGGAAAATTAAAGCTGTTTTTTTTTCTGTCAGATATCAAATTTGTTTTATTGTGTATCATGTTAGGGTGAAATTTATAAACAGAACAAATCCTCAAGAAGGGAACTACTTTTTTCTCTGCCTTTTATACTGTAATGCAATGAGAGGACCTTAGGTCAATTGATTCAGTCTCATTTCTCCATATTCCCACATGAACGACTCAAAAACACTGAGCAGCACCTTGACCTGATCTCCCTAAAAACAAACAAGCAGATTAGCAAAAATCAATAACAATACCAAACACAACTCGGATCATTGACCGACTTTGGCAAATAATGATCAAACGTCCCCAAATCCACAGAGTTTGTTGTTGATGAAGAGAGGAATGAACACGGTTCAAGACTTGCAGGTGAATTAATGTCTCCCCATGTTATGGAGGGGGAATTGTTATGTGTGATAGCATGTAGTATACTAGAAATGTATTTAATCCAGTAATCTGTCATATTTTACATTAGAACGGGATTTACCAGAAAGTCTAGTCTCTCATCGTCACCCTCAGGGCTAAGTCCCTGATCTCCCAGAATCGTAGATCCTCCTCTGCTTACGACCCTCTGCTTTTTCCAAAGAACCGTGGTGAGAAAAGGTGAGCTTCAATGACCGGCTGAAAGTGCGCATGCACAGAAAGATATAGCTAACGGGTCGAGCACATAAGACGGCCCTACGTAAACATATCACCAGAATGATTGAGAATTAGGAGCACCGTTTATTCAGATGATCCACTCGGAAAATGAAGATACCTTTAAGGTCACCTCCCAGAGGCAATGGTGGAAATAAAGATAGTATTTGAAAGTAATGTACTTGTATGCCATTTTTTATAATAAATAAAATCAGGTTGAGTAGAAAAAAAAACACCTCTGGTGTCAAGTAACAAAGTACAAATACTTTGTTGCTGTACTTAAGTACACTTTTTAGGTACGGTATTTATACGGTACTTTACTCCATTTTTCTTCCTACTTCTGACTTCTACTCATTACATTTTCACACAAATATCTGTACTTTCTATTTCTTACATTTTTAAAACAAACGTTACTCGTTACTCTTAGCTTCGGTTTAATGTTTCTAAATATATATTTCCCGTCATGTGCTCCATCCAATGCAGATCATTGGCTCC